CCCCAAAACCCCAAAACCCCAAAACCCCAAAACCCCATAAAATCTGTCTTTGTTGAAGAATTAGCAGAGTTATAAATTAGATAATTTCTTTTTAGTTCTCTTTATCTCAATAACATTCGGATCATTTCTTAAGAAGCTTTCTAAGCTTTGTGAAATGGCTTGAGATTTATTAACTTCTTCAATTCTGCGATCTTTACTTTTAAAGCTTGACACTTTAGCAATCTTATTATTTGTACTCATTATGCTACTATTATTCGACATTTCTCCTTCTTGCTCAATGAATTTTGACGATTCATAGAAGTCATCTTCGTCTTGATATAGACCTTTTATGAGCCTTCTTCTTGAATGGTTCCCGGAGTCATCATCTAAATTTACTTTTGAAAGATTACCATGTATAACAGCTTCTTCCTTCATTGCTAGGATATTTTCAAAAGGATCATTTCCTTGGTCTTCATATATTTGGATGATATCATCATGATCGAATTCTTTTGTGCTCAGTCGTTCATCTTCATCCTCTGATTCTTCCTCCTCTTGCTCAGTTTCATATTTGTTCGATTTGGATGTCAGATGGACTTTAGAATCGGCGACAACTATATTTTTAGAGTTGTTTAGTACATCCGCTTTCATCTTCTGTTCTATCGTCTTTATTATCTTTATTATCTTTGTTCTCTTCTTCCTGCTTTTTCTCAAAGTCTAAAGGTTAGAATTCAAGTACCAATCTGGCTGTTTAAGATGAGGTCTTTGAACTCATCGGGTTTGATGTACCCTGAGTTGATACTTTCAGCTTCTTCTTTAGTAAACATTATCTTCATAGGTTTTCCTTCATATTTATCCCCTTCTTCATGAATTTTAATCATCTTTGCAGCAGAGATTAAGATTTTAGGATTGATGTAATCGTAGTTGTAGTCATCAAATTTTAAACTACCTATGGTGAATGGCCTATCTTTCTTCCGGTCTTTAGCTCAGTCCTTTATTAGTTTTGAAATTTGTCCAATATAGTCAGGTTTAGGATGTCTCGAAATTTCATCCGCGTGTAGAAGTCTTACAGATTCGTCCTTTACATCTTTACCAAACTTATAATTTGGGTCTTTGGGTCAATCTTCCATAGTATGGCCTGTTTCTTTACATCATAATCATTGAGCATATTTATGTTTTTCTTCTTTATCTTCAGCAGTAGGATCATCCTCATCATCCCTTGACTCATGTTTCCCAACTGTACAGCCTGGCGCATCCTTATTACTCTTTCCACAGCACCAGTACATCACTGTGAACTCTGAGGTATGTGTTCTACAGCTCCAATTGTAGTTCTCACTTTCCAAAAAGTCTTTGTTGCATTTATTTACACATCTTTTGGTTTATATCAACTCTTTGTCTTTTATTCTTCAATTTTTGAATTTTCTCTTTGAGTTTGTCCCTCTCACTTGTAACTCCTTTCATGGAGAGGTTAAGAGTGACTAGTTCTTCCTCCTTGATATTGAGAGTTTCAGTGACTTTCTTGTATTTCTCCTTTAGCTCATGCATTTCTTGGTTGATTCTTTGGCCGTAAACCTTGTGGTCTTGTAGGAGATTCATTCGAGCTTTAGCCATATCTTTGAGATCTATCCTCAGTCCATCTCTCTCTTCAAGGAGGTCATTGATTGTATACTCTAGAACCTTCTTCTTATCTATTATTTCCTCAGTCTTCTTCTTTTCTTCCTTGAGCTGGAATATGAATTTATCTTCATCACATTTGGAATTAGAGCTTTGTTCATCATCTGAGCTTTTACCAGAGAGGTTGTTTACAGCTTTATAGAGGTTATTTTAGTTGATTTCGGAGGACTTCTTGGTCAAGTTGTCTCAGACGTGCCTCCTCTGTCAGTTTAATAATTTGATTCTTTTGTCTATCAGAGGCTACTTTAGCATCTCTAAACTTTCTCCTGTACATAACCCTCTCAGATTCTGAAATATCAGAGAGGCTTATATAATCATTAAGTTTTTTCTGAATAGACTTTTTATCGAATTCTAGGTTTCTAATTTTCCCTTTTAAAGCAGCATTTTCTTTTTCAAGTAGTTTATTTCTCGCTAAAATTAATTTATTATGAGATTTTAGTTTAAATCACTCATGGAGAGAGTCATCCCTTTGTTGCTGGATTTGTTGTAAAATCTAGATATGGATGACTACAGTTACCTCTTTCTTTTCAGAATCCTCTATTTGCATGTTCTGGATTTTGTCATATAGCATATCACTGAGAACGAGTTGGCCAAATACAGTTTTTGGCACTTCTTTCTGAGCCTTGAGGAAAGTTTCATCGTCAATTTGTTCGCTGCTTAATAGTTGGCTAATTTCATTCCCTAAAGTGATAAAGCATAGTTCTTACTTTTATTTTTGTCTGTAATAGGCTTTCTTTTATTAAACATTGGTAGAAGATACTCCTTTACTACTTTGGCTGCAAGAAGAGGGTCTACATCTTTTCTCTTTGCTGAATATCTCTGGCTATTATGCTCCTCGTTTGGAAACAAATTATTCCCTAAAACTAATGAACTTCTTATTCTACATAGATCTTACTTTGATGTCTTTGCCCCATTTTCCTCTTGCCTGAAGCAGCTCTTCTCATAGATGTATGTGCGGAAGAGACCCTATTTTTCGTCCTAGTTGAGCTATTCAATTTATACATAAATTTCAATATTTAAAAAACTTTAAGGGGTTTTGGGGTTTTGGGGTTTTGGGGTTTTGGGG